CAGGATGAGAACTGATCACCCGAGGAAACTCAGCCTGGATCTTCTGAGGATACTTGGGTTAACTCAGTAAACCTCAGCCACTTGTGTAAACTTGACCTCAGGTTTCCAAACATCAGTCATTTTCCTTTTTTTTTTTTTTTTACTGACTTTTTATTGTGGTAAAATACACATAATATAAAATTTACTTCTTAACCATTTTAAGTTGTACTTCTGTGATGCTCAGTACATTCACGTTGTTGCACAATCATCATACCATCTAACTCTAGACGTCTTTATACTTGGGTTAACTCAGTAAACCTCAGCCACTTGTGTAAACTTGACCTCAGGTTTCCAAACATCAGTCATTTTCCTTTTTTTTTTTTTTTTTACTGACTTTTTATTGTGGTAAAATACACATAATATAAAATTTACTTCTTAACCATTTTAAGTTGTACTTCTGTGATGCTCAGTACATTCACGTTGTTGCACAATCATCATACCATCTAACTCTAGACGTCTTTTCCTCTTGAAAACTTTAGCCACTCAACACTAACTCCTCATTCCCTCTTCCCCCATCCCCTGGCACCCATCACTCTATTTTTTTGTCGCTATAATTTTGACTACTTTAATCCTTCATGTAAGTGGAATCACACAATATATCTTTCTGTGAAATCCTCTACTTTTAAAGCAGAGAAAATGTGTCTTATACTCTAGTTTCTCCTTCTTGTGCCTTCCCTCTTCTTTTCTAATAGTACGTATAATGCATTATGGCTTCCTATACCCTTTGTCTTACCGCTCTCTGTCTTTCCTCACATGCAAAATTTTTCAGGATGTTGATTTGAAAGATAGATTAAAATCATTTTTTTCTTTTCTTTTCTTTTTGAGAGGTTTTCGATATAGAGCACATGCACTTGCCAGACAGACAGAGAGAGACATAGAGAGAGAAAGCGAGAAATCACCCCCCAGAGGGGATGGTCATGCCACAATCCCTTCTCCTCCATTCTCCTCTCGGGATCTTGGGCATGCACGCACAGGCCCCCAGTGTGAGTTTTAAACCACTGGGTCCAGGATGCGAACCACGGTCAACTACATGGGAGTCCAGCGACATGGCCATTACGCTAACTGCTGGTTCCCAAAACCATTTTTTTCCTCACTAAACCAGTAAGAATTGCAAATCTCTAATGGCTATTTTCTTAGTGGGATACTACTATTTCAACAGATGCAAAATTTTAGTAAAGACATACATCTAAGATATTGGTGAGTACATGAACGATTTTTATGGTAGATGGGAAACTATGGGCAGGGATAAAAATTCTCAAGCCGAGACCACAGCCAAGATAATTTAAATCAGAATCCTGGGTGTGGACTCCAGACACTAATATTTTTTATAGTTCCGCTAGTGAGTATGTAGCAAAGGTTGAGAGTCATTAGATAAAGCAGGCTCTAAGACTGTAGTTCTTAGCTATATCTGCACATTAGAATCAACTGAAAGCTTTAAAAAATGCCTAGGGTGCCAGCAGATGGTGTGGTGGTTAAGGCACTGGACTCTTACATGAGCTGTGGTTCAAATCCCAGACTTGGCAGTTTGAAAAAATATCACACTGGGTGCTTGTTTGTATGGGCCTCAAATCATGAGATGAGAATGGAGAAGGGGATTGAGTGGCCATCCCTTCTAGGGCATGATCTCTAGCTTTCCAGCTCTCTGTCTCTGTCAAGCACGCATGCCCTATGAAAAATAAAAAAATTAAAAAATCCCCAGTACTTTTGCCATATCTAAATTATTTTTGACGAAAATACAAGATGTTATTCACTCATAATTTATTTTTTCAGCTAATCTATTGTGAATATTTTCCACACCATGAAATATTTTTCTATTACTTTATTTTTAGTGCCTGTATGGTTATTTCATCATGTGACTATATCATTATTTATCTGGACAATTTTTTATTGGATATTAAGTTTTTCATATTTTATTATTAAAAAAATAAGCCTTTGATGACTATCCTAGTAAATGAATCTTAATGTGCGTTCTTAATTATTTAACCAAATAAGTTTATAGAAAGGGAATTCATGATAGGACCAGCAGTTGGCATAATGGCTCTGTTGCTGGACTACTATGCAGTCGCCCATGGAGTCCTGGACCCGGTGGCCTAAACTCACGCTGGGTGTGTGTGTGTGTGTGTGTGTGTGTGTGTGTCCAACATCTCAAGAGGAGAATGGAGGAGAAGGGATTACAGCATGGCCATCCCTCCTGGAGGTTGATTTCTCACTTTCTGTCTCTCTGTCTCTCTCTGTCTCTCTGTCTTTCTGGCGAGTGCACACAACACCCTATAGCAAAAACCTCTCAAAAAAAAAAGAAGAAGAAGAAGAAAGGGAATTTACGGTTCAAAAATTTTGTATATTTTAAACATTTTTGACACATTTTATAAAATTGCCCTCCAGTAAGTTTGCACCACTATGTAGTCCCATTAGCGCTTGAGGAAGATGTCCTTCCTTTCACATCTTTGCCAACATAATTATTTCAAGAAGCCTCTGCCAATGTGTTAAGTAAAACAAACAAATAAACCAAAAATCCCCTATTTTATTACTGTTTTGATTTGATTTTTTTCCTAGTGAGATTAAACTCTGATAGGAAAATTAAAAATATTTTTAGAATAGAGGCCAGCAGGTGACATGGTGGTTAAGTGTTGGACTCCCACATGGTGGACCATGATTTGAGTCCTGGACCTGGTGGCTTGCTTTCTCACTTTCTCTTCTCCCTCTTTCTCTCTCTTGAGCACATATGTCCTACAGCAAATTAAAAATAATAGTAATAATAAATAAGAAGAAATAAATCTTAAAAAATTATTAGAATAATGAATGTATATGACTACAGTCTCCATACCAAACGCCTTATATACAGACACTCTGAGGCAAACAATACATTTTCTGTTTACTGAGAGAGAGACAGAGACAGCGAAAGAAAGAGACCTTTGACAGAATTTTATCATGCTATGACCGTCCCCCACCTGGAACCTTCCAGCTAGCCAGAATAATGGGTGCACCATGTGCCTGAGATCGAACCCCAGGTCTTCCCCTATGGTTCTAGGATCTTGTATCACCTGTGCCACTGAGACTAGTGTGGGCAAAAAATTCTTTTAGCTAATTGTTCTGGTGGTTACATCCATGTCTGTAAATGATTCAACCTCTATTTTTTAATGTATTAATTATAAACATTTTCCCTTGACTTTCTGCTATGATAAGTGAGAATTCATATTTTCATTCCCACTTTGAGTAGAAATAACATTTTTGTTTGTTTGTTTCCTTATTGATTAGATATTTGTTTATCTATTGTCATGTTAACTAGACTGCCTGTGTCCTATTTGCTTGGTTATAGAATCTGAGATTAGAAATAGTTTTCCCTCAACACTTTTAATGCGTTGCTTTCTTGTCTTTCAGCATCTAATATTGCTGATAAGAAATTTGGTATCATTTACATTTTTGTTCTGTATTTGGTGACCTGTTTCATTTTGTTTTTATCTTTCACTCTGGAAACTTTTAGGATAATTTATTTCATGTTCTCTTCTTCCCTCTCCACCCCATTTCCATCTCTTCTTTCCTTCCCTTCCTTCCATTTTTTCTGAAATGCCCCAAGTTGATTTTTCTTTTCTTTCATATTGATGGGCACTTAGCAGCCCTAAGGTCTGTGGTACATGCAGGTTACATTGCCTCTTTAACTTTACCTAACTTTTCTCACTTTTTTCCCCTTCGATGTTTTCCTAAGTACCTTATTTACCCTTTAACATTATCCTCTCTGAGCTAGGCACAGTTCAGGAGTCAATCAATGTTTGTAAATTTCCCCTGAGGGGATCATAAAACAGGTAGCATACACCGTCTCTAAGAAACTTACACACTGTAACTATGTTACTTGGAGAGATATTCTAATATCAATAAGTGACCATGGTAAAGTAGAAAATTTCCTTTACTTGAGATCATTATGAGTAAGTCTTGTTTTAATTTGCATATTAGTATTAGGATGCCCTACTAGGAGTGGTAAGATGAGTAATATTTAGGATATAACATTTTCACTCACTCCAAAGGGTGATCCTGTCCTTAATAAAAGCAGAGGCTAAGAGTTCATCTAAGTACATGAACTTCTCAGAGGGACTGAAGAAATGTGATTTTTGTGTTATTTCCTAGCGGTCTGATGTAGTTCAGGGTGGACCTTAATGAAAGATGGTTGGCAATGCTAGCGATCTTTTTCCAATGTTAGATGTCTTAAATACTCCTTGAAAGTGCCTACTTTTTACTATGCTTGAAGTCAGTCAATTGTGGCTGCATACAGCAGACTCTGCCCTGCTAACAGTGACAGAGGATGTAAGTGTGGCAGGCCCGGGGCTATCGCGAAATGTATTAGTCCACTCATAACATGCCAAAAAGACAACAGGGCCTGAATGCAAATGAAGCAACACACCTGAATCTTTATTCATTTCCTTTTAAAAATGAAAAATAATTCATAATGATGTTTATTATTACTACAAAATGGTTGATAAATAGAAGACTATGTGTGACACATATGTAAGCTGTAAGCATGCTAGTAAACTGAACAGCCACACACCCATCACCCAATTTAAGAACCAGGACTTCATCAATACACTGAAGCTTCCATGTCCTTTTCTTTCTTGTCTCATGTCTCCACTTCCTCTCTCAAAAAGTAAACATAATTCCAGATTTTCATTTACCATGCTAATTTTAAAAAAATGTTCTTTCTGGGAAAAAAGAAAACATATATACACAACTGCAAAATCAATTTTAATTGTTTAGGGAAAAAAATCTGATAGAGAAAGAAATTGATGAACATAGTAGTGAGGATCCATGGAGTGAAAAAACAATCTGGAGGAAAAAAAAAGACAGAAAGAAAGAAAGAAAGAGGAAGAAAAAGGAAGAGCAGCAAAAAGGTGTTGGTGGGGGAGAGATGACTGGTAGTGTGGAGACTTGGAATGTAAGAGAAGGAAGGACTTCAAGGACGGTTAACAGTGCCCATGGTGCTGAGAGCTGAAGTAAAAGGAAATCTCTTCAATGCCTTCAGGTTTAGCAAGAAGGAGGTTGTTTGCAACCTGCTGGAAACCATTTTTCAGGGCTGGGCTTCGGCATTGAAAAGGGACCAGAAGCCAGATTACCATGGGCTGTGGAGTTGGTGGGAGGTTTGGATAGAAGCAATGAACGTAGACAGTTCTTTCAAGAATGTTGGCAACGAAGGGAAGGATGGAACCAGAAGATGTGGATTCATGCCCAGGACTTTTGTTTGTTTTAAGATGGGAGATACTTGAGAATATTTAAATGCAGTTGTTTTGAAAGAGCCTGAGGAAATGGACATTTTGAAGAATGGGAGAGAGAGAAGATACTCTTGAGGAAGAATAGTAATCTCTCGAGGAAAAGGGAATTTTTACGGAGAGTTTACTACTAATTAGGCACCAAGCCACCACAGAAACACATGGAAAAATAAAAGATGATTCCTGACTTTCACAAAGTGATTGTTTTAAATTTTCCTTTCTTATCTCTCAAACCCTTCTTTGCCCAAAGTAATAACTTTTTATTTTTTACCTGAGACATGTTCTAAGAATCACATTTCCTGAGAGTAGCCAGTTGTTATGAACAGGATCAGGGAGAGGCACATGGGAGACCTCAAAGGTTTTCCTGAAAAATGGATGATAGACACACAGATGTCAGTTGTATCATTTTTCTTTACACTTCTCTTTTGTATGTATGCAATATTTAACAATAACAATTTAAAAAATTGTTACATAACGGAGTGGAAAATATGTCAGAAGATTATGTTGCCAGTTGATAGTTTGAATGGTGGGCTCATGAGTGTTTTATATGCAAGTACATTTTACATATGCAAATCTATACTTTTATATGTATCAGATATTACAAAATACACCATTTAAAAAGAAAAGGAGCAGGACCAGCAGCTGGTGTGGTGGTTGCGTTGGCTGGCTTCCCATATGGCCGACCCCGGTTTGAGTCCCAGATCCACTGGTATGTAAAACACGCCGAGGTGGTGTGCATGTGTGCCCAAAATCCCAAGAGGAGAATGGAGGAAAAGGGATTGAGGTCTGGTCATTCCCCTTGAGGGATGATTTCTCACTTTCCCTTTCTCTGTCTGTCTCTCTTTTCTCTCCAGCAAGCACATGAGCCCTATGGCAAAAACAAAACAAAACAAAACAAAAACAAATAACAAAGGGGCGGTTCTGTGACCTGGTGATTAAGGCAGTTGGCTCTCACATGGCCAATTGTGCAGTTTGAGTCCTGGTCCTGGTGACTTGAGAAACATGCCAGGAATGGGTGCAAGCATGTCCTAAATCCTGAAAGGAGAGAGAAATGGAAGAGAAGGGATTGTGGTGTGATTATGCCCCATGGAGGGAGCTTTCTCCTTCCCCTCCTCTTTGTCTCTCCCTCTTTGGCAAGCGCACCATACCCTCTACCAAAAAACAAAACAAAACAAAACGAAAAAAACAACAAAGACCAACAACAAAAAAGAAAATCAAAGAACAGAGAGGTGTCTTCCATGAACTTTGTGAAGATTTATCAATCTGGAAATCTTAATTAGGAAATTTCTGCTTCTGTGTGTGAATGGGGCCAGGAAGATTAGAAGGAATGAGTGGGAGGATACAGGCTTCTGAGTCAGAGTTCAGCAGTCTCTGCTTGGCCTTTGTCCTCCACCTTTGATTGTCGTAGGTGAAGCTGTGTAAGCCTTCATTATCTGCCTGGTCCCGATGGGTCCAGATGACAGGTCAGATGAAAGGCTAATGCTACTCATGTGGCTTTCACCGGGTCTCTGCCTCCACGTGTGGCCACTGCCTGCCAGGAAACTCTGATGTCCTATTAGGCTATGGATCACCCCCTGGATCCCAGTTGTCCGCTCGGAGGCCACTTGTCTTCCTTCCTTGCAAGCCATCAAGTCTAGTCTGCTTTTTTCTCTCTTCCCTAATTGCCTCTTTCTCTAGTCTTTGATTTTCTCTTCTCTGAAGACTGGCTCTTGAATAGGGTGGGTCTCCAGCTCCTTCTTTTGATACCTGCTAAGGTACTTTTTATTTCATCTTTATTTTACTAAGGCTGGCCATTCAGTGAGATGAGGTTCTCTTTTCACTGGTGAGTCTGGTTGAAGGACTCCCTTTGACTTGGGTGAGCTTCCCTGGGAACTGCTTTGCAGCCTGAAGCTCTTCCTGAGAGAGAGTTAGAATCAGAGCCCAGGATGGAAGGAACCTGAGAGTGGAGTCAACTCTCGTCCCTTTCCTCTCTCCTTCCAAATTGTCAGACCTGCCTCATAGTCTGAGGCTCTCCTCCATTCTCATTTCGAATCCTGTCTTGATGTCCACTACTTGGTGAACCTCCTCAATGTATTAATATAGGTTCTTTTTTTGTAGCACATAGTCCTATGGAAGTAGCACCATAGGGTCAAGATGTTTCCTCTGACATTCAGGTTTCTGAGATGCTTCCTAGTGGGGCATACGTATCCACCGAGCACGGCACTAGGCAGTGCAGCAGGACCCCGAAGGGAGTTAGAATCAGACTTCAGGGTAGAAGGAACCTAAGAATGGGGTCAGGTGGGGGGGAGATGACAGGGGCCCCAGGAAAAGAGAGATTCCTGTAGGACTGGGTAGCTCCCTGAGCACCTGGCTACTGTGAACCACACAGGAGGCTGCAGCAGGACCTGGTGACACCCCATCCTGGGGACTTTATTATACTTGCCTGTGTTTCTGGGACTCAGTGCTGTCCTTCAGCCTCCTCAGAGAGTTGGAGACTAGAGGCTGGTGCTGGAGGTGGGACCAGCTGCAGGTGTGGGGAGCCACCAGGCAGGGGGAGCGCCATGTCTGTGGAGGCTGGGAGAGAAAGATCTGGGAGAAGAAGAATGGAGGAATGTAACAACCTGGAAAATGGCTGAGGTGAGAGGTCCGACAAACTGTACCCTCTCTCTCAGGCATGAGATCAAACCTCAAGTTTAATCTCTGAAGACAGAAATAGGGGTGATCCCTGGTTGCAGAGGACCAGATCATAGCTGGGAAACTGTGGCACAGGATGGAGCAGGGTGCTGGCCCGACTGGTGTGGTGCTGCATTAGGCAGGGTCCCTGAGAGAGGGGTAAGAATCAGAGATCAGGGTCAAAGGAACGTGAGAGTAGGGTCAGGTGGAAGGAGGTGGCAGGGGCCCAGGAACAGAGAGGTCCTGCAGGACTGAAGAGGGCTGGGTAGCTCCCTGGACACCTGACTGCTATGAGCCACACAGGAGGCTGCAGCAGGGTCTGGTGCTGTCTTAATGGAGGTCCCTTGGGAGGGACACTGGGCAGGCCTGCCCTGGCATATGTGTTACTTTATGGCAACTGCCAGCCTGCGGCCTAGATTCCGATGAGCATGACAGGCTTAGAAACATTTTCCAAAATGCAATGATTGGCACTAGGAGCTGTGGATGCTTGAAGGACCCCAGACAGATATTCGAAGTCCTGGGTAATGATACCATTGGAAAATGTGGACATTTCAGAATGCACTGAGAACTCACTGCGTTCTTCAGCCTTTAATTCCAATTTCTTTTCCAAATCCATCATCAACCCAAAGTACTACACATGGGAAAACAAACATGCTGAGCCTTTTCCTGGGCTCTTGCTTAACAAAAATACAATCGGCCAAACATCTTTAAAGGGAGAAGGTGGTACCCTCTCACAATGCAGATGTTGTAATGTCAGTTCCCTCCCAAATACACAGAGCTGACTGAGAGGCAGCAGAACTGATGTGGGAGCTGGACAAGTTCTAGGGAGGGTCTGGGAGCAGGCTGTGAAGTCAGCCAAGCTACTGCCTCAGCAGGCTGGCAGTGGAGCAGCAGGAAACTGGGAGTTCAGTGGAAACCACGCTGAGTGCGGTTTCCTGGCTCTGCCTCTTTGGGACAAACTCTTGAGGACTGAAGACAGGGGCTAGTTAAATACTCAGGTGCTTAGGTCTCTCTCTAGATTTTCTGCTTTGTGATCTCCCAATGATGCTTCAGAGTGTTTTTAATGAGCATGTTCACGAAACACTGGTACTGAGGACAGTGCATCTTCAGTCAGGGGAGTTGGCCATTAACCTAATCCTCTGCTGGCCCTCTATCAATGGCGTTTGCTGTGATTTGTGTCTGGTGGTTTCCACCCTTGCTATGGCCTCAGACTCTGTGGTAACACATGGGGACCTTATTTTGAAACAGAATGTTATGATTTAAAGGGCCCTTTAAAAAAGCCAAGGAAGGAGGCATAAAATTCCCTGTTTTCTAGATCACATGCTAGGCATTTTAATAGTCACCTCATTTATTTCTCAAAGCAATCTGAGATAGAGTATTAGTTTTTTTTTTGTTTGTTTGTTTTTAATCTAGAGGCAAATGAGGCTATCAAAGGCTAAGTATCTTGCCCCAAATCATGCATTTTAAAGGGGTAGAGCTGGGACGTGGCTGTAAAAGGCAGTGTTCTTAGGGCCAGCAGATGGTGTAGCAGTTACATCAGTGGACTCTCACATGGCCTACAGTGGTTTGACTTCCGGACCCAGTGACTTGAAACTCACACCAGGCACATAAGTTCCCAGGAAGATCATGGAAGAGAAGGGACTGTGGTGTGGCCACCCCCCTGGGGGGTGATTTCTCACTTTCCCTCTCACCGTTTCTATCTTTCTCCAGTGAGCACATGTGCCTTAATGGAAAACCCTCTTAAGAAAATGAAATGTTCTTAAGGCTGTCCCACATGGGAATGTTCCTGGTTCAAGTCTGGAGACCTCCCTGAGTATGTCAGACATACACCTGCCCATCATCTGGGACTGGCTGAAGCTGGGGGTGGATCACAGTATCAAGAGCTTGTTGGGGATGCTGTTTCTCTCTCTCATTCTCTCTCTTTATCTGTTGCTCATGGAAGAAATAATAATAATAAAAAAGAGCGAGCTAAGATTTATTGGAACACTCTCCAGTTGACATTAAAGCCCTTAGTCTTTCTAGCTAAACATATTGCTTCTGGGGTCAGTAGGACCCTTCATTTTGGAAAGGCAAAGAGGCATGGAATGATTTACAACAAGTTGCACAGAGAGTTTAAGTGTGTCTAAGAAAGGGTCCCCAAACCCCTAGGTCTTGCTCTGGTGCCCTAACTCCCAAGTCATTCAGGAGCCAGGCAGGAAACCATGATCTTGTAAGCTCCATAGAGGTTTCCTGCACAGAGCTCCTCCTGTGTAAGGTCTCTGCAGAGGTCTGCACTCAACCTGGTTTGTACTTCTGGGCTTGATTCATCGACCAAATTCCAGCAGATGTTTCTGCCAAGATCACAGTCCCTTGTATTATCTTCCATTGCCCATTTCCCATGCCTGAGAAAAACTAGGAAAACTACATCAAAGCAAGTGTTTCTAAGAGTTGAACATTTACATGAGTTTTTAAAAAGTTCTCCTTGAAATAGTTTTAATAGTTGCCACAATAAAGTGAAAGAGGAAGGCTTCCAGGCAGGGCAGAGAATGTGGCAAGGTGACCACATGTGAGAATTGCTTCAGTGGGCAGAAGGAAGCTCACTGTCGAGCAGGCTGTGACCTGGCAAACAAAGGCAGCAACCCTTGGGTCATTCTCAGTAGCCTCAGGACATCAAGGGAAGCAGGAACTACACATGTCACCCCCTTGTCACCGCCACCTCACAACCCTACAATGCTCTGGAATAATGTGAGCTTTCTTCTTTTCATACCTCCTCTGTAAAGCCCCTTCTACTTGAGGGGTTCTCCTTGATTTTGTCTCTAATCAATTCCTGTTCTGTCTCTAAAGTCAAGTTCAAATTCTGCCTTCTTCATGAGTATTTTTCTTACTCTTCATATGGCAATAGCCGCACTCCCACTCAGACTTCTCGGTGCTTGGCATCTCTTGCACCATTCCACTAAGTGATGCCATATATATATATATATACACATACA